ATTTTAATTTATAATAAACTATTTCAGCGTATTTACGTCATTTAGTAAAAAATTAACAAAAAACACTAATAGAACTTGATGAATGGTGAAAAAGCGTCGTTTCGCCAATCCTTGGGTGGGAAATTTTGTTCTCCCTATGATTATTGACTTACATTAATTGTTAGATTATTATAATATATTATTAGGTTTTATGAAAGAGTTGATCTATTGGCATCCCATTAATGGACTAAAGTACCTTATTTGGGAAAGTAAAAGGAATAAAATACAGTTAAATCTTGATAAATTAATAACATCGATTAACTATACACAATATGTACATAAACTAAGTTAAATATTTTGGAAAAAGAAAATAAAGAATGTCATGATAAATCGACTTATACGATTAAATAATATATTGATTAATTAATAAATATTCATAATTCCAAAATTTATTGAGGTTTAGTTGTAGTAACTCTTTTAAAATATATATATATATAATGAAGGGTATTTACAAACTTTATCGGGGTGCCCAATGCCAATACCATAAAAAAATTAATTTTAAATCCTTGAAACGCAATACTTAAAAAATAAGACGTTTTTAGTTTATTCGTTGGGTTTCATCAATAGCTTTGCTCTTCAGTCTTTACCAAACCCCAAGCTTACGATTAGTTTTGAAAAAACCGGTCCAAACTCGGTTGGTCGAACCATGGCCCACCATGAATCAACGTCACTGGTGACGCAAAGAGTATCTACGAGTNTGACCCACACTATCAATATCAATACAAATCAGTGGACGTAGGACTTGCTACCTTAGCATCCGAACCACTTTAAAAACTCTCATAGCATTTATTTCGCTTTTTATCTTCATTTTCACGCGTGCTTTTTGATCAATCAACGCTACGCACGTGACAATTAGTTGGTGCAAAAATCAAGCATCAATAGATAAGATTGTGTTTCCAAACTTTATATAAATTAATGGGAGGAAGAGAACAAAAATCTTTATTCAACGAAATTTGTTTAATGCAATATTAACTAAGACTAATAAGGTAAATTCAATGTTTACAGTTTACTAGTTCACGATACAATATTAATTAAGACTTGTAAGGTAAGTTAGCAGTAGGTGTCACATCTTTCTAAGATAAATTTATCAATTTAACGTAAAATTTACACATTCGGGAATAAGCTAACTAGTATTTTAATACTTAATTATCTATCACTACCTTAGTTAGTAAAACATATAAGCTGAATATTCATATAATTCACGAATTATTGAAAAAAAAAAAAAACTGGGTGAGAAAGAAGAGGAAGAGCGTGTTTTCGTTTTTACACGCGTTGTAATAAAATTTAAACGGCATGGTTTTGAGGAGATTGAGAATAGTAAAGGGGTGTCTTTCCAGGCATGGAAGGCCTGCACATGTGGCAGTTGGAGTGGGGCCCCAAGAGACAAAACTTTAACCCAACATGTTCTGTCATAGTGCCATGTGGCAACTATGGCCCCACATGTAATGTCCTCAACATGAGAAAAAGTAAAACTAAAATTATAATATATATTTTTATTCTTGATTCTCTGCTATTTTTTTAATAATTTTTTTTTCTTTTTTTGAACTTTCTCAATGATTTTGAAGGATAAGTTAAAAAATTATTATTTTAAATAATTATTTTTTATTTAAAAATATCAAAGAAACAATTAAAGTAAACAATTAAATTATGTTTTTAAGATAGTAATTGATAGATTTAATAATGGGATAATTCTGGTTAAGCATTGCTATAAGTAGATTGCTTTAATTGCTGGAATTTTCTATTTTTAACACTAAAATTTCAGTCCTTTTTATAGTAGTATTCTATTTGCTTAATCTTTTATTTTCTTTTTCTAATAAGATCTGAAGTAATAATATCGTGGATAGCACGTTTGAGACATAGAAGCAAATAAAGTAAATCAAATAAAAAAAAAAGAGAAATTCATTTGCAATTTAATTTGATTGGACTGATACATCTCAGAAGATCTTATTTTATATTGCATCCAGTTGACCATTATTTAAAAACTTCTTCCCAACAAAATATGGTAACGTTGCATCCAGTTCACCATTATATTGCCACCCCTAAGCTTTCATGCATTCGACTTTGAATTTTGGTTTTGTTATGACTTATGTGTTTGATTTGATGTTATAATTAAATCTTGACTAAATATTGTATTTAAGTCTGAAAAATATAATTTAAATATTAGTTATATATTGTGTATTTGTGTTATTAGTTAATTGAATACTTTGCATTTGAAATACTATATTAATTTTAACTAGATAGTCCATAAAAGTGTTAAAACTAAGATTGATATTGCCATATTTTTCAAAACGTATTATTGACAATACACCGCATTAAACCCGTATATACACGTCACGTATTTTTTCCGTATCTGAATTTTATGGCCAAATTTTTATAAATGTATTTTTTACCATTTGTCATATTATACCCGTAAAATTTATGTACCCTTTTTTTGCCGTACTCGTATTTACTAACTAGGATCAATACTATATTTATTGTCTTGCAACATATTTTGTCATAAAGCTACTTATATAAAATCAGTGTAGTATATATGTTAACCAAAAAAGCAAGAAAAAATCTCAAATCAACATTTCTAAATATTTAAAAGAATTGGCATTCACTCTTTTCTTTTCCTATTTTCCCAGTTGTTAATATCTTCCCATTCATTATTGGAATTTTGCAAATCAGTCTTCTTTCTGATATTTTATTTAATAAAATTACATATACAAACTATTTATACAAATTATTTCCTATAAACTAATATAATAACCGTGTTTTTTTTTTTAAATGTATATTATTTTTTTTCTTATCTGAAAACACATTAATTGGTATGAAAAAGTTTGAACATAAAACATTCTTGTATTTAATATGGATAAGTTGCATACATATATTTTTATTTTTATTTGATGACATATACGTACATATATGTCCATACCACATGACACTCTTATTACTGAAAGGAAATTACACAACTCATAGAGAAAACTCATGGGCCAAAGCGCAGCAATTTCAAAACAAAAACAAAGCAAATAATAATAAAGTGAGTTTCGAAGGCAACGCAACCACATCAACAAATGAGATCAAAGTTCAAAGGAGCTTGAGTGAGAAATTACCACGTTGATTGTCTGAGAGGAATTGATCTCATTTTTTCTGGAATTCTCAAATTATGGGAGCATCCTGTGATACGCAAGCCTCTAAGCATTGGCATGTGTTAGAATATGAGTTCTAGTCATTAAAGGATAAATCTGTAATTTCAGTTAGACAAAGGGTAAATCTGTAATTCTAGTCTGACTAACCAGTTAACTTGTTGACTGGGGTCAGTTTACTTTTTAACAAACTTTTGTAACAGTATTGGTTAATCAGATTTTACGCACACAAATATTCAGACTTATTTTCTCTCGTTTTCTCGCGTTTTCTCACACTTTCTTGGCACTTTTCTTAGCTGCCTTTCTTTCAATTTCAAGCTCTCATTTGGTATTAGAGCCATTGACAAACATCAATAATGGCCGATCAAACTTCTTTTGTTTCTTCCTTTGACAGATCTGAAACAAACCCAAACTCAAAATCTCCCACTAGCTCCACTAATCCCAGCAATTCCTCTGGTTTTTCATCATCCACACTTCCAATTATCTCACCCAAGCTGACGAGAGATAATCACAGGTTCTGGAAGTCTCAGATAATCTTTGCTGTCAGTTCGCAGGATCTTGAGGAGCATCTCACTGGTTTGGTTCCTTGCCCAACTCCTTTCATTAGAGTTCAATCGGAAATTTCAAGCTCTGAGGTAATCAAGAAATCTAATCCTGAGTATACTTTGTGGAAGAAAACTAAAAACTTCTAATTAGTTGGTTGCTGTCTTCGATTTCAGAATCAATGTTTACAGTAATTGCTAAATGTCAACATGCTACTGAAATCTGGATAACACTAGAAAAGGAATTTCTTACTGAATCTAGAGCCAAAACATTACATGTTAAGAGTTTGTTACAGAACACTAAGAAGGATAGCCTTAGCATGCATGGCTATTTTCTAAAGATGAAAGGATTTGTTGAGAATTTGACTACTAGTGGGGTTAGTGTTACGAACTACTGAATTACGTATTAGATGGTCTTGACTCAGATTATGATGTTGCTGTAGTCAATATAACCTCTAGGTTAGAGTCTAGACTAGAACCAATCTCTATTCAAAAAGCTCAAATCATCTTGCAAAAATTTGAGCTAAGACTGAAAAGGCAAATTCTACCCTATGAGTTCCATGGAGTCTTAGCTAATATTGTTAATCTTGCTATAAACACCAGCAATAAGAAATCCCAATTATCTCAGGATGCTCAAAACCTTGCAGGAAAACTTCAGTACAATACCCTACCTCAAACTGATCAATTTTATAATTTCCCTTCACCATATACCCTACTTACTCAAAATCAAACCATGTCTACACCCGGATATGCTCAGAATTCGTTTTATAGTCAACAGTTTCATAATGGTTATTCTGATGGTAGAGGTAGAGGTAGGACTGGAGGAAGAAACAAATTTGTTTGCCAAGTATGTGGAAAAACTGGGCACCTTGCACTAAATTGTTACCATAGGTTTGATGTTCACTTTACAGGACAACATTCCTCCTTTCCTGGCTTTACAAACAGTTCTCCTAACTTCACACACAACCCTGGTCCTACTAATATTGCTGGTTTCTCCAGATCACATGAGTTCAGCCAAAACAACTACTCACCCGCAGCTCATCATAATTACTCACAGAATGCTAATCTTGGAACTTCTCTGCAACCCTCCAAAAATCTATTCCCTCAACACACCATAGTGTCACATACACCTACTCCTAATGTTGGTTCTCCATTAAGTACAGGTTCTATGGTGGAAGCTTGGGGGGGCATTTGCGAGAGTATAAATCCAGAGTTTGCAGTTTTCATAAGTTGACAATCGATGGTGGAAGATTTCTGATGAATGTAATCCTTACCGTTAAATACTTTAAGTGGACTAACTGCCCAATCTCTCCGGGTAAGCTATGGCAATCAATTGATCCTCCATAATTCTCGACATGAAGAACTCTGAGCAACCTGAGTCTTGTGAAAATAGAGGTTGATGTTTGCCTGAAAGAGTCCCGATCTCGATCGTACAACAAGAGGGAACGTGAGAGAGAATTACAATGTTGGAACAAAGAACTTGTTTCAGAATTAAAAACAAGTCGGCGAGATGATGATGTTGGAGTTAGAGAGCAAGTTGGATGGTGAATTCCGTCGTAAATGTGAACGAAATTCAGCTCTTTTGCCTTTTGAATTGCAAGATCCCGCAAAAGATCATGGATTCGACGTGTTTCAACCCTCCCCCGACAAATGTTTTCAATTTGAATCATGCTTCTATTGATCAACTCATCCAGGTTGTTTTTTGCCACCTCTTCTATTACTCGATCATCATCTTCTCGTATGAAACCTTCTGCAACCAGTAATCGGATTGCTTTCTCTAGGAATTCAAAATCCTCAGGGAAAATCCCAAGATAGAGAAAGCAGAGCTTCAATTGATAAGGCAAATCATTGAAGCTTAACGTTAATAAGGAAGGTATGTGAATTGAATCATTCCTTAAATGTTGCCAAAAGTGATCACGAACCGAGCGCCACTCTTGTGGTTTCTTTGTAGACAACAGCCCGCCTAATACAATTATGGCAAGTGGCAGGCCGCTGCATTTTTCAACCATTTCTCTTCCTAGCTTTTCTAATTCTTCGTTTGCATTTGATTTTCAAAAAGCGTTCTCACAGAATAAGTTCCAAGACTCGTCAGGCCTAAGAAAACGAAGTTTATGAACATGAATTCTCTCATCTGAACGCTCAGCTACTTCTTTGATGCGAGTAGTGATTATAACTCTGCTTCCATTGTTGCCATCCGGAAAGGCTCTTTTCAAACTCTCCCATGCTTCTTTCTGCTATACATCATCGATCACCGCCAAGTATGAGCGTCCTCGTAAAAATTTATAAAGACACCTCTCCAAATCCTGTTCACTCATCTTCTCTAACTCCACTCCGTTAATTTTGATCTCAAAAGACTTTATAATTCGTCGAAGAAGATCTTCAGTTTGGTAATCTTGAGAGACAGACACCCAAGCTCGTAGTTTGAATTTATTCAAGACATCAATGTTGTGGTAAAGTTTTTTAGTGAGAGTGGTTTTGCCCAAACCTCCCATGCCAAAGATGGAAACTACAAAACGGCGTGGCTCATCCTCAAGAAGTTTACCCATAACATTGTTGATGTTTATGCACTTGAGTTTAACAAAGAAAAGAAAGAGAGCTGGACTGAATGAAGAGAGTTGCATTTTCTGCATTTTGAAATGTGTTTTCATTACAGTAGATAAAGCAAAGTTTTACACCTATTTTGCAGACATATAATAACTTAAATTAATCCTAAGCCACACACTTAATATCAACTAACAACTACAGCATCAGAACATCCCTTACAATCTGGAATGCGTATTGTTAAGAAATATAGGTTATTTTGTTTTATTGTTTACTAAGGGTAGATTTGTCTTTTCATTATTTCCTTTGTTTAGCCTATATATATATATCTTTGTATTTAGGTTAAATCATACTTTTTGTATTCAATTGAATTTTGCAGTATCAATGAAACCCTAGCCTCCTCATTTTTACTATTTCTTTGGATTGTTTAACATGGTATCAGAGCAAAGTTTCATGGGACGAGGCTTAATCTTAAACACAGCTTGCATGGATCCAACTCCGCGGTGAGTTGGCTGGGGGTCTACAGGGGGCAGCGCGCCCCTGTTGGGGTTCGGGGCAGAGAGGGTATTCGTTCAGTTTCTGCAATCTGATATTTCATTGGTATTCGTTCAATTTCGGCAATCTGGTATTTCGTTTCCTTTCTTTTGCATTCTGGTTTCTTTGTTTTTTGAATATGGTTACTGAAAGAGATGATTCGCTTCAGTCTGTAAGTGTGAGGTTAGATGACAAGAATTATTCGTATTGGAGTTATGTGATAAGAAATTTTCTTAAGGGTAAAAAAATGTGGGGATATGTTAGTGGAACTTCTGTGAAACCTAAGAATACCGAGGAGGAGGGTATGATGCTTTGATAGATGCTGGGAAGCAAACAATGCAAAAATTATTACTTGGATTAATAATTCTATGGGCATTCCATAGGTACACAGTTAGTGAAGTATGAGACAGCAAAGAGGTTTGGGATCATCTACAAAGGTTATTTACTCAGTCAAGTTTTGCAAAGCAATATCAATTGGAGAATGACATACGAGCTCTTCAGCAGAAGAAAGAGTGTTCAGAGTTTTATTCTGCTATGACAGATCTTTGGGATTAATTGGCTCTTACCGAATCTGCAGAATTAAAGGGATGTGGTGCCTATATTGCTCATAGGGAGCAGCAACGGTTGGTGTTTTACAACGGCACTTCGCAGTGATTTTGAAGGACTAGAGGTTCAATTTGCATCGTTCTCCAATGCCTTCTGTTGACTCAGTTCAGGGAGTTATTGGCTGAAGAAATACGTCTTAAGTCATTTTGAAAAGGGAATTCTTTCTGCTTCTACTTCTAATCCTCTGTGTTAGCAGGACCTTCGAAGCAGTCTTTAATAATCAAAATAAACCTTACACAAGGGTAGCCTCGACGAGTGCAGTTTCTGTAAGCAAAAAGGTCATTGGAAGGCTCAGTGTCCTAAGTTGAGGCAGTAGAATCAATCGCAGCAGCAATCTCAAGCTTGGAAGCCTGGCAACCAGTCACAATCAATGCTCATAGACCACCTCAAGGTTACAAACCACCACAGTCTAATACTGTAGTATGTAGTTTCATCGGGTCCTTTCATGATCTGTACTCTGGTTGAGCAATTTCAGAAGTTTCTCTCCTTACAACCACAAGCTACGTCTGCTTCTTCTTCCGTAGGTCAGTTACCCATAGTTCTTCAGGTATGACATTCTGTATGGGTTTGGATTTTGGTGCTTCACATATATGTCTCCAGATTCTTCATCTTTTGCTTCTGTGTCCCCTCGTCTTCTCTTCCATCATGACTGCTGATGGCACTCTTATGCCTTTAGCAGTGTTGGTTCTGTTGTCACACTCACGTGTCTCTCTAATGTTTATCATATTCCAAAACTACATAAATCTTGCTTCTATGGTCAGTTATGTGATTTTGGTAATTTAGTCACCTTTTCTCTTCTCTTGTTATATGCAGGATTTACAGTCTCAGAAGCTGATTGGGACAGGCCATAGGAATGGGGGGCTATATATTTTGGATGAGTTAAAGTGCAGTTGCTAGTGCTGATGCTGCCGTACTAGTGTTGATTTGTCTTTTTTTGTTTGAGTCCTTCTTTTCTAGTTTATTATGGCATTCGTTTAGGTCATGTTTCGTCTCTCGTTTGAGATTTTGGCTCCACAGGGGCTTTAGGAAATTTGCAAACTTGTGATATTTCGATTGTAGTGGATGTAAACTGGCAAAATTTTCAGCTTTACTTTTAATCGAAGTATTTCTATTTCTTCTTTCCATTTGATTTGATTCATTCTGATGTATGGGGACCTTCTCCTGTTGCCACAAAAGGAGGGTTCGATATTATGTTTCTTTTATTGATGTCATACTCGTTATTGTTAGGTTTATTTAATGAAACACGTTCTGAATTTTTTGAGATATATACAGCCTTTTGAGCTCTTGTCAAAACTCAACATTCTGCTATTATCAAATGTTTTAGGTGTGATTTGGGTGGGGAATACACTTCTAATAAATTTTGTGAGTTGCTTGCATTAGATGGAACTGTTCACCAAAACTCGGTACAGATACTCCTGAGCAAGATGGTGTTGTTGAAAGAAAAAATGGCACATTGTTGAAACTGCTCGTTCTCTTATTGTCCGCTTTGTTCCTAGTGTGTTTGGGGTGAAGCTGTTCTTACTGCTGTAGGTTTGATAATACAATTCCATCTTTCATATTTCAGGTTTTCTCCTTTCGAAAAGTTGTATGGGTATGCCCCTGATTATTTTTTTAAGTTTTTGGTTGTACTTGTTTTGTCTTCGTCCTCATGTAGAACGCAACAAGTTGTCCTCTCAATTGCATGTGTGTTCTTCTTGGTTATGGTGAAGGTAAAAAGGGGTATCGCTGTTTGATCCAATAATTAGAAACTTATGTGTCTCGTCATGTTGTTTTCTTGAGCATATAGCTTTCTTTCTATTTCATCCAAATATACACTTGACTAGATCTGATCTATGTCTAGATCTTTTCTGGATTTGATAGTTTGTCATCTCAGATTCCTAGTACTGATCATTCTGCAGGTACTGAAACTTTACTCTCCAGCCACACTAAAGCTCCCTCTTCTCCTATGGACTCAAGCTTCGTGAGATTGTGGATCCACCTCTACATCAATCCATACGCATTCGTAGTCCACAAAGTTACACGATTTTGCATTCATACTTCATCTTTTGCTCCTTTTTTAGCTTATTCATTGTCTCTCTGAGCCCTCTTCCTATAAAGAGGCAATTCTTGATCCTCTTTGGCAGAAGCTATGGATGAGGAACTTTCGCTTTGCATAAGACGGTACTTGGGATTTTGTTTCTCTACCTTGGTAAGACTGTTGTTGGTTGTTGTGGGTGTATAAGATCAAGACTAATTCTGATGGATCTATTGAGCGATACAAAGCTAGGTTGGGCAAAAGGGTACTCTCAACAATTGGTATGGATTATGAGGAGACATTTGCTCCGTTGCAAAATGACTACTATTCGTAATCTATTGCAGTAGCTTCAGTTCGTCAGTGGATATCTCTCAACTTGATGTTAAAAATGCTTCTTGAATGGGATCTTCAAGAAGAAATTATATGGCGCCCCCTCCTAGTGTTTCACATGATTCTGGGTATGTTGCAAGCTGAAGAAAGGTTATATGGTCTTAAACAGCACCTCATGCTGGTTTGAGAAATTTCTATTGTGATCTTCCCTTGGATTTGCTTCTAATAGTCATGATTCTGCTCTTTTTGTTAAGTGCATTGATACAGGTGTATCATTCTGTCTTTATATGTTGATGACATGATTATTACTAAGATGATATTGATGGTGATTTCAGTTTTGAAGACAGAGTTAGCTCAACAGTTTGAAATGAAGGATTGGGGTCTTACGATATTTCTTGGGTATTGAGGTAGCCTACTCACCTAGAGGTTATCTTCGTCTTAGTCGAAATATGTTGCAAATATTCTTGAATGGGCTAGACTTACTGATAATAAGACTGTCGATACTCGATTGAGTATTCTTCTTCTGAGGTTACCTTTGTCAGACCTACTTTATACGTACTGTTGGGAGTTTGGTAATCTCACTATTACTCGTCCAGATATTGCATATGTGTTCATGTTGTTAGCCAGTTTGTTGCTTCTCCTACTATAGTTCATTGGGCAGCTATTCTCATATTTTGCAGTATCTTCGGGCACAGTTTTCAGAGTCTTTTACTTCATCCACCCTTCCTTGGAGCTACGTGCATACTCTGATGCTGATCATGGCAGTGATCCCAGGATCGCAAGTCTGTTACTGGTTTCTGTATCTTTTTGGGTGATTCTCTATTTCTGGAAGAGCAAGAAACAATCCATTGTTCTCAATCTTCAAACGAAGCAGAATATTGTGCTAGGCACTAATACCAAAGAGATGTGTTGGGTACGTTGGTTACTTGCAGATATGGGCGTTTTTTTTCTCATCCCACTCCTATGTATTGTGACAACCAGAGT